CCTGAAACATCAAACTATATATGGCCATCAAGACACCAGACCTGAAGTCCTCATCACAAGAATGAGCTAGACAAGCGCACTGGTTTCTGTCGAAATCATGTAATCTAGAACGGCGCTAGTACAGTAACATGGATTTCTCAACACAACTACACACATTAGTTGATGTCTATGCTATATATGCATTCTAGACTGCACTGCTTGCACCGAGTAAGGAATCCAACCAACCTGCAGAAGCCCGATGTAGCACTACTAAGAGAGCCTGCGAAGATAATCAAATGTGCAGCACATCTTGTGTTGCAGTGTCCTTGTTCAATAAAACCATTCCAACCTTTCCTCAGCCCTTCATGGTTTTATGCACCCGCTAACTACAACACCGCCGAAGCAATCCCGGAAAGAAGGAGAACCCATCCTATGTAAAGACGTATCTGTTTGTAGACAAGAGAACTAATTAGGGAGAACACCAAGCCAAACCCAATTAAGGTTTCGATCGCAGCAGTCGCACATGGGGCACTCGGCTGCGAAGGCCCCGTCCCATACTTCCAGAGGTTCACATTGTGCCGCGACATGCCAGGGCCTGCAAACACGAAACACTTTGCAGCTCATTGCAGACACATGATGAAGTAACTAAGAGCAACTGCTGACGTGCTTCTATGCAACGCGCGATCACACTGTCTTTTCGGACCCCAGCTGGTAGCGTCGATCCGGTGCACATAAGATGATGGAATTGGAGCTGGCATTCCAGCTTTGCGAGCACACATATGTCGATGAGCATGTGCTCTCACTCTCTCGCACACACACAAAGACAGCTATGTCGCCTAACCCGCGGCCGCACGTGTTCACACATGCAGTGCCTTCTAAGATCAAAACTCACATGCTTTCTGCATGGTTTGAAGATGCACGTCAGTACATCTGTGGCTGCAAAAGGCAGCTTGGCAAAAGTCGCCTGCTTTGCCCGAAACTTGCTTCTTAGTCCCTGTCCAGGGCCATATTCATGAATTTCTCAACTCGGGGCTGGAGCTGAGCTTCGTAGTGTGCGAGTGTGCGCACGTCGTCTAGGCCTGCACTGTCATCATCCTTGGCAATGATACGGGAGGCGAGGTTGTACCACGGTTCCTGACCAGGGTTTGACATGATGCACTGTAAGGACGCTACGGCTAGAAACAACAATTAATGGGTTCTAGCCCAGAAAGAACATGTATGACAATGTATGATTGAATTCTGTCAAACGACCTCCCAGCACGAGGTCCCCTGCTCGTGACTCCTGAGCACTGGAGCGATGTGCGTATCAAACACATTCGCGATAGCAGACCACCGCAAGGATGCCGGAGCCGTAGAGGGCTTCCACCTGCGTGCGAAAACCGTACCAGCACCCTCCTTGCTCGGGGGACGGCCAGGCTTCTTCTTTGTGCTGGGGGCTGCTTTGTTTTTTGCCTTACCCTTAGCCTTTGCTTTTGCTGTCGATTTCGCCTTTGCTTTTGCTTTTGCCTTTGCCTTTGCTTTTGCCTTCGCTTTCGCCCTGCCCTTGGGTGCTGGCTTAGGGTCTTCTTCATCGGACGCCGGCTCATCCTCATCATCACCTGACCTGCTGCCTGCATTGCTGGCCTCGTCTGCCGAGGGATGCTCACCCTCCTCTTCCCCATCCTCTGACTCCGTTGTGTTGGGTGCTGCTGCTCTCTTCGGGGCTCTTGCCTTCTTGGGCTTGGGGGCCTCGCTCTCCTCTTCATCCTCCTCCTCTTCCTCCTGTGGCTCCACTGGCGGCTTCCTCTTGGGTGCTGCTGCTCTCTTCGGGGCTCTTCCCTTCTTGGGCTTGGGGGCCTCACTCTCCTCTTCATCCTCCTCGTCCTCCTGCTGTGGCTCCACTGGCGGCTTCCTCTTGGGTGCTGCTGCAGTCTTCGGGGCTCTTCCCTTCTTGGGCTTGGGGGCCTCACTCTCCTCTTCATCCTCCTCGTCCTCCTGCTGTGGCTCCAGCGGCTGCTTCCTCTTGGGTGCTGCTGCGCTCTTCTTCGCTGCTCTTCCCTTCTTGGGCTTGGGGGCCTCGCTCTCCTCTTCACCCTCCTCCTCTTCCTGCTCTGGCTCCACTGGTGGCTTCCTCTTGGGTGCTGCTGCAGTCTTCGGGGCTCTTCGCTCGTTGGGCTTGGGGGCCTCGCTCTCCTCTTCATTTTCCTCCTCTTCCTCCTCTGACTCCACTGGTGGCTTCCTCTTGCGTGCTGCTGCAGTCTTCGGGGCTCTTCCCTTCTTGGGCTTGGGGGCCTCGCTCTCCTCTTCATTTTCCTCCTCCTCTTCCTCCTCTGGCTCCACTGGCGGCTTCCTCTTGGGTGCTGCTGCAATCTTCGGGGCTCTTCCCTTCTTGGGCTTGGGGGCCTCACTCTCCTCTTCATCCTCCTCGTCCTCCTGCTGTGGCTCCACTGGCTCCTTCCTCTTGGCTGCTGCAGTCTTGGGGGCTCTTCCCTTTTTGGGCTTGGTGGGCTCCTCTTCATCCTCTTCTTCCATCACTGGCCTTGGGGGTGTTGCAGGTCTTCCTCTCTTGGGCTTGGGGGCCTCCTCTGCTGTCACTGACCTCCTCTTGCTCTGCTGATGCTCCTTAGGACTGCCCTTGGCCTCTTCCTCAACCTCTGACACCTTTGTCTTGTGTGCTGCTGCGCTCTTCGGGGCTCTTCCGCTTTTGGGCTTGGGGGCGTCGCTCTCCTCTTCATCCTCCTCCTCTTCCTCATGTGCCTCCATCCTCTTGGCTGCGGCTGCTGCTGCGCTCGTCGGGGCTCTACCCTTTTTGGGCTTGGTGGGCTCTTCTTCATCCTCTATCTCCTCCACTGGCTCCTTGCTCTTGGGTGCCGCTGCTGCTCTGTTCGGGGCTCTTCCCTTGTTGGGCTTAGGGGCCTCGCTCTCCTCTTCATTTTCCTCCTCTTCCTCCTGTGGCTCCATCCTCTGGGCTGCTGCTGCGCTCTTCTTGGCTCTTCCCTTCTTGGGCTTGGGGGCCTCGCTCTCCTCTTCATTTTCCTCCTCCTCTTCCTTCTGTGGCTCCATCCTCTTGGCTGCTGCTGCGCTCTTCGGGACTCTTCCCTTCTTGGGCTTGGGGGCCTCGCTCTCCTCTTCATTTTCCTCCTCCTCTTCCTTCTGTGGCTCCATCCTCTTGGCTGCTGCTGCGCTCTTCGGGGCTCTTGCCTTCTTGGGCTTGGGGGCCTCGCTCTCCTCTTCATCCTCCTCCTCTTCCTCGTGTGCCTCCATCCTCTTGGCTGGGGCTGCTGCTGCGCTCGTCGGGGCTCTACCCTTTTTGGGCTTGGTGGGCTCTTCTTCATCCTCTATCTCCTCCACTGGCACCTTGCTCTTGGGTGCCGCTGCTGCTCTGTTCGGGGCTCTTCCCTTGTGGGGCTTAGGGGTCTCAGGCTCTTCATCATCTATCTCCACTGCCGCCTGGCTCCTGGCCTGCCTAGTTTTGCAGGCCTCACGTGGCTTTTCATCACCACTGCTGCCAGCACTCGGAACCTCCCGAACACTTGAGGCTTTGCTGCCCACCTGCTCCGACCACAACTATGCACTAGACAACATGCATGCATGTAGATGTTACCTTTAAAATGCAATTCACATAACATGTGTAACCGTCATACAAACTTCATCCCACACAGCCGATGTACCCCCCGAATCAGATCATGAACCCATCTCTTCACTTGCAGCTGCACCTTGACCTTCCTGTTCTTGTCGGGCTTGCAGTGCTCCTCAGGCCACGGGTTTTAGCTATCATACAGCTGAGCTTAGCATTAAGAGAGGAGGGTCAGGTATATCCACAGATGTAGCTGTGCATGTGTGGTTGATAGACATATATATATATATATGTATATATACATACACACACATAAACGGACCATGTTTCAAAATCAATCCTATATATGTGTGTATATATGTATATATAGATGTAATTTTAGCCTGCACTTTCCAACAGTCCTGTCTAGGCATCATTACACACACAGATAGATATATATATATATATATATAGGTGTAACACGGTTTTACATGCATAGACATGTGTATTTGCACACGTTGATGTACCTCCATATTGGATATCTACATGTATTCTCATGCATGTCGGAAAGCAAGTATATGTATATATGTATATGTTGTTTGTATATGTATACTCATATATATATATATATATATATATATATATATAGGTATATGTCTATGTACATGTCTATGCATGTGTGAATGTAAACGTGTATGTATGCATATATGTCTATATATCGATGTATATAAGTCTACTTCTATGTAGCTCTACATATGACTATCTGTATATAGGCATTCTGCTATGTATGCATTGCATTGTAACAATATAGAGCAGAGAAACACTGCCTTTGTCATCTGGATATGCATATATAGATACAGGCAAATATGAGTGTAGTGATTCCGTGGTTGAACCTTATAAGCACACCACTTTCAAACCAGCTGAAGTCTAGCAACTCCTGAGGTGAAATCCCAACTGCACAAAGCCCTCAACCCCTCCGAGAATGCAGGCCTTGGCATCTTCTTCGGCGGACACCTCGATCTGCTGCTCTTCATCCCTAGACGCTGGTACCTCAGATTCGAGGATAGGCTCCTCGAACAAGTACCGCCTCGTCTCGTCGGGGCCTTGCAGTCTCTCAGACCTTAACAGCTTCTTCGCTCGTTCATGATCTTTCTTGGTCGATGGCTCCGGGGTCGAAGTCCCCTTTTTGGGAGTGCTCGGTGCAGGCTCCAGAGGCTCCTCATCATCACTAACATTAGCTTTCTTGTTCTTTCTTTTCCGACTCTCCCGACTCTGAAATTGGAGAACCCGACTCACAACCGGAACCTCCTCTTCATCCTCGAACATGGCCAGCGTTGCTTGGAGGGCTTCTGGTCCTGAGGAATCAGTGTGTGCGCGTGCTATGTGTGAAGTAATACGTAATAGCAATGCCATGCATCATGACAGGAGCCTCCGATCCTAATTGTATACCTCGATGTTAAACCTGCTTTAACTGCATCGACCCTGCCTGTAGCATCCACTGCATCCTGCAAGGCCTCCTCTGCTGCCACGGCCGAAGCAGCCTCTGCCGCGATCTCTTCGGGGGCAGCGGCCTGCGTCTCGTCGGCCTCCTCCAAAACAATGACACCGTAGCCATCGTCGCAGCATGCCCTGAGTTGCAGTGTGGATCTGATTCCTTTTAAAAAATACTCCCAACTGCAATGTAAGTAATCCAGTCGACCTGCGCCTGCTATTATCCTTGTGCAACTTATAATTTTGCTAGTAAGAAGAATTTCGCTATGTTTATGTAGTAGAAGTGCAATTAGTAGCACTTAGCCGTATGCAGGCAGTACTCCGGTACTAGTCATACAAGCCACGGTCCCCTCCTAGTAGTCCTAGTAGTAGTAGTAGTAGTAGTAGTAGTAGTGGTGGTAGTAGTAGTAGTAGTAGTAGTATATAGTAGTAGTAGTAGTAGTAGTAGTAGTAGGAGTAGTAGTAGTAGTAGTAGTAGTAGTAGTAGTAGTAGTAGTAGTCTTAGTAGTAGTTGCAGTAGCCCTGAGTCTATACCTGTATATCGGTATATATATATATATATGTGTGTATGTATATATACCTAGTGACCCTGGCAGCAGATGTGCATTTACGTAATCATACGGTTTTGTCCGCACATTGGTTCTGCATTGCACGTCCTGCGTACGAGTACAGAATTGCTTTGTGGTGATGGTGTCGTGGTATATATATATATATAGAGGTCCTCATTCATATCTCATGTACAGCGCTGCTACCATGTGTGATCCCCATTGCAATATAGCATTGTACGGGTGTACTTAGTCGTGGTCAATTAACAACACATGTTTGACCTCATAACTGCCCACACGCATGCCACACAGGGGACTGTACATGAACCTGATGTCAGCATGCAGAACCTGCGCATGTGGTGACGGTGAATCCCCGATCATGCTGTTGCTGGGGCTGGCATCTAAGCTTCACTTTAGAAGTAAACATTTCTAATACAGATCGGAGGTTTTGGTTTTATTTGCATGTAGAGGCACCGGAGGTAATCGATCTTCTGCTGAATATCCTCCACGGTGAGGTTCTCTTCCGAAAGGGATTTGAACTCCATCTCCTCCATCTTGGCGTCATCGTCATCCTCGATGGCGATGACCTCTGGTATCTCCCTTTTCACATTCGGTCTCGCAGCCATGGGGCCCTCGAGGTCGATGACCTGCAACACTGGGCCGGTGCCAACTTTGGGGAGTAGGCTGCCCCAGTGCTTTTGGACCATCTTGTAGAACTCATCGACGCCCGGCTCCTGCACACTGTGGCCATGTAGTCAAGGGTACTTTCAGCAGGCACAAACAGGCTTCATGTGTCCATGCATATACAAGTCTATATGTGTATGTAAGTCATAAAAAAAACATATATATATATATATATATATATATATATACATGTTACAATTACATCTACACACATGTGAAAATGTGTGTGTGTAAACTAATTGTTCCTATAGATATACATATACAGACATTTATAGGTACATACGTATACGGACACAGAGTAGAACAGAGCAACACGTGCATGTTTGTATACATCTTTATACCTGCATCCTCGAAGCAAACCTCTCTATATATATATATATATATATATAAGTTTTTAATAATCTGTATGGGGTCTTTCTATACAGGCAGCTACTTTTTCACACGAAGTCCCTGCAGTCCTTCCTAGCCCCAATGCGGACACCCCAGCGCCGAACTCCCATCGAGAAGAGCTTCTTGAGGCCCCAGCAATCCAGGTGCAGCTGTTGCGGCGTTTGCTCGATGGACATCATCGAGGTGAATTTCTTCACCTGCATGGGGTCCGGGTTGGGAACTCGAGAGTACTAGAACAGTAAAGGGTTTCACTCTTAGGTGTACCCACATGCCTATCCGTGCAGACAGCCTTTGTATGTGCATTCTACGAGTGTTTCTGTGTCTGTGTGCATGTATGTATACGTATAGAGATGCACATATAAGCCTGCATGTGTCAACATGTGGACTAGGATCCATGCATGAGTTGATGAGTTTTAAGTAACATGCTGTTATACCATGCATGTTTAGACACCCCAAACCTCTTTCCGAATCCACGCGATCGGCGGGGATTTCACGGTTTGCATCGTCGAGCAGTAGACTCTCGCGAACAGGGTCATGACCCGGGTGTTGAAGCCTAAAGCTGACAAGGAAGGAAGCCCGGCTCGGTCTGCCCTCTTCCAGCCCAGCAAAGACTTTCTTTCCCTGAACAGCTCCCGCACCATACGGTTGTCCTCCAGCGCCTCCGCTAGAGGCGCCTCGAACGTACAAGCCTTCGGCATGATGGGAATAAGCTCCTCTACCGAGGTACCTTACAAGATGACAGAAAAATGCGAAGCCAAATGTATGCGAGTCCCTGGCAAGGACAGCTGTTCTGGAAGATACTATCTAGCTGCATTGCAGATCCATCGAAATATATGCATTCTCTCACACACAGCTTCGAGCAGGCGAACACTGCAGACAGCGATTGCATTCACAGGCACCACGTGCATGCAACAAAGCAGAAATCACAGCCCTGACACAGAAGCAGCACATTAGCAGCCCCCACGTGCAATCCTGGCCTGATCAGGCTGCCCCTGATCCGCGACTCCATCAGCTGTCTCGCTGACTGCTGAAAAAAAGAAGCGGTTGCCATGGCACTGCACGTGATGCAGTGCAGATACTAAACAGAAGAAGGTAAAGATGTTTAGTTGCAAAGCAATACAGTGCCTATCGAGGTACATGAATCATGAGTCGTTCTGCCCGACTGCCCCCGACACAGGAGGCCAAGTGATGACCCCTATCATTTAAAATCACATGGATGCTTCATCCTGTGTAAACCAAATCTGAAACGTTGCAACTCTCAACAATCCCGCAGAGACTGCCCTTGACACACACCAGACCCTAAAAGGTAAAGAACAGCCCGTGCTGCACCACAAACGCCTGCGATAACACAAAGGCGTTTTAGCAGCAGGAGGCGGAATAAACAAGCACACGGGAGGTTGCAGGTAGGGTTTAGGATTTAGGATTTAGGATTTAGCCTCCGGAAATTTGGATTTTTGCTGGTGATTTTCGAGTGACAAATTCTGTTCATAAAATGTGGCTTTTAGAGAGGGCCGGTTGCGAATCTCGAGGTCCCCTCCTTTCTTTTCGTGTGGCTGCTCTTAAGCTTCCGGATTTCAATATTTAGTCGCGCTTGTCCTTTTCGGAAAAGGACAACCGGCTCTAAAATCTAGATTTAAGATTCAGGATTTAGGATTTAGGATTGGATTTAGGTTTAGGATTTAGGATTTAGGGTTTAGGATTTAGGATTTAGCCTCCGGCAATTTGGATTTTGCTGGTGTTTTTCAAGTGACAAATTCTGGTCATAAAATGTGCCTTTTAATGAAAACCGGCTGCGAATCTCGAGGTCCCCTCCTTTCTTTTTCGACAACCAGCTCTAAAACCTAGATTTAAGATTTGGGATTTAGGGTTTAGGATTTAGGATTTGGGGTTTAGGATTTAGGATTTAGGATTTTGGATTTAGGATTTAGGATATAGGGTTTAGGATTTAGGATTTAGCCTCCGGAAATTTGGATTTTGCTGGTGCTTTTCAAGTGACAAATTCTGTTCATAAAATGTGCCTTTTAGTTAAGGCCGGTTGCGAATCTCGAGGTTCCCTCCTTTCTTTTCGTATGGCTGCTCTTAAGCTTCCGGATTTCAATATTTAGTCGCGCTTGTCCCTTTCAGAAAAGGACAACCAGCTCTAAAATCTCGATTTTCCACAGCTGTCAAACGATAAGCTTGAAGGGCCGAGCCGGCCCTGCCATGCCGAAGGCCCGAAAAGGGCCGAGGCTACTCCCAGCCGTTGCCTAAACCACAACTTCAACAACTGGAACGTTCATGGGTGCAAAAATATAAAAGCCCCCCTTGATAGGGGGGTTGGGGGGTAGAAACCCTAAACCCTAATAGAGTATAGTTTGGGTGGCCGGGGTGGGTTTACGAGCAACGCGAGCGCGCGGCCCGGGGTGCTTCACACCCGAGCGCGCGACTTCGCCTGCCTAAACCCTAAACCCTAAACCCTAAACCCTAAACCCTAAACCCCTAAACCCTAAACCCTAAACCCTAAACCCTAAACCCTAAACCCTAAACCCTCAAGTCCCCATAAATTGAGCTTGCGTATTACACCGTGCATGGTATTCCATTACATTCTTTTCAAGTTGAAGCAAATACACTTAACATCATATCCTTAGATATGCATAGCCGTTTGCACAAGTTATTGCAATCGAGTTTAAGTAAATTGAATTGATTATTCCGCCACCACCACCACCAATATGCAATCGAGTTTAAGTAAATTGCACCAGCCCGCTGGCTCAGAATGGCCTAGGGACCTAGTCATAGTCAGAATCCTTTCGTTTTGCCGGGGTTGTAACATCCTCTGGTCTCGGCTCGCCACCCGAGTGAGCGAAATCGTAGGACGACCTTGGTTGAAGATTGTTGAGACAAGGGGAAGCTCAGGACAAAAAGCGCAAACTCCATGGTGACATCTGCCCGTCCGCCGACGGTGGAGAGTCGGAACCCAACAGGATCCCAAGACGATCACAACGGAAGGCCAACGTGAAACAAGACAGCTGCCGAGATCCCAACAGAATTGGTGCGCACGATCTTTGTACAAGTAATGCAGCCGTCTATTTGAAGTGTCCCTCTAAAATAGATCGGCCTGCAGCGCACTGACACTTGACTGGTCCTGCACTGCACCACAGTCACCAACAGACCTTCCCGCAACCCCAAAACCCTGAAAAAAAAACCGTGCTGCAGAAGCAACAAGGGGCAAGAAGGTTGACAACCGTTAGTTTACAGTCAATGAGCACAAACGCTCCAAACCCACGTGAACCGAGAACGAAAAAACAAGCTGTCACGGGCAGGCAGACTACAAGGCTAGCAAGTCCCAAAGATCACAACGCCCCGAACGGATCTGCACCAGTTCCGTTTATATTTTAAGCCCAGAATGGAAGGGGCCTCGAGATCGGCCCTCCGGCCGAATAAAAACGCTATTCTATTAACAGAATTTGTTACCCAAAACGCCCACCCCAAAATCCAGGAAATTTGGCTTTAATTATTTTATGGTTTAAGCCCGAATCTGCACCAGTTCCGTTTGTATTTTAGGCCCAGAATGGAGGGGACCTCGAGATCGGCCCTCCGGCCCAATAAAAACGTTATTCTATGAACAGAATTTGTCACCCAAAACGCCAACCCCAAAATCCAGGAAATGTGGCTTTCAGTTTAGCAAACCCCCATTCAAGGTTCATTAACAGGGTTTTCCAAACCCTATGGTTTAGCAAACCCCCATTCAAGGTTTATTAAACCCTAATTTAGGGTTTAGCAAACCCTAGGGTTTAGCAAACACCCATTCAGGGTTTATTAACTAATTTAGGGTTTAGCAAACCCTAGGGCTTAGCAAACCCCCACTCAAGGTTTATTAATTCTTAATTTAAGGTTTAGCAAACCCTAGGGTTTATTTAGGGTTTAGCAATCCTAGAGTTTAGCAAACCCCATTCATTTAGGGTTTAGCAAACCCTAGGGTTTAGCAAACCCCCACTCAGGGTTTATTAATTCTTAATTTAAGGTTTAGCAAACCCTAGGGTTTATTTAGGGTTTAGCAATCCTAGAGTTTAGCAAACCCCATTCAGGGTTTATTAAACCCTAATTCAGGGTTTAACAAACCCTAGGGTTTAGCAAACCCCCATTCAGGGTTTATTAAACCCTAATTTAGGGTTTAGCAAACCCCCATGCAAGGTTAAAAAACTAAAAAAAAAACTAAAAAAAATAAAAAATAATAAAAAAATAGAAAAAAGGCCAAAAAATTCAAGAAAACCCAAAAAAAAACCCCCAGTTTAGGATTCTCAAAAAGGCACCCCGCACACGAAGCAAGCTCAATAAACCCTAAACCCTAAACCCTAAACTAAGCGAGGGGCCGAAACCGTCGAACGACAGGCCCCGAGCGCTCTGGCCGAGGGCCTAACAGCCCGAGCGCCCCTACGAAAAGAGCGGGACGCGGAGAGGGGAGGGTAAAGCCTCCCCGGTCTGACCTGCACAGGTCAACGGTGTAAAGCCCATGGCAAACCCCAACGGGAAGTCTTCGAAATGAGGGACCGCTGTATCGGGACCACCTCTAGCGTAGCTTAAGTTATAACCCCAAACCGTGATCCATTTGCTCTGGCGGGGGTGTTTTGGGTCATTTAGTCGCGCTTGTCCTTTTCGGAAAAGGACAACCAGCTCTAAATCC